TATATATATATATGATAGTGGAAAATAATAATACATTTTCACTGCCATTTCAAAACTTTACAAGTATATTTTTGGCATATAGTGATGTTTTTTTTATAAATACAGTGTGTTATTATTTATTTAAACACACATTTTGGATACAGCTCAAAGGTACTGAATGTCTGGATTTAAACGTGTTTTCTCCTCTATAATAAGTAGGGGTATAAATAATAATCGTTTTGCATCGATGCATCGATCCAACAACCGACGATCCGATGCATGTGGTCTAGTTTTATTCATTTGCTCCTGGACGTAAATTTGACTCCCATGCTGCAGTGGCGTTAAACCTAATTTGCCCTCCTACCTTGCTTCCTTTAGCCACTACCCTCTTTCCACTTGCACACACACATAAACAGTAGGCAAGACAGACATGGCAGATTCATCGAAAATAATCAAATCGTTGGGTCAGGAAATTGATACTGAGTCAAATCACCATGATGGGTGTTGATTTACACCCCTAATACTATGCATAATAAAAACATGATGTTCACACTGAAGAGAACTTAATTTTATAGCCCAATTCAGTGCAAAGACAATTCAGAATACTTTGTGCTAGATATTGTCTTTTAACTGTAGTTTAAACCTTCCGGACCAAAGCCTTTGATGTCCCCTGATTGGATGAGAGGAGAAATGTCTCCTAGATAACTTTGCCTAAACTGACATTTTTCAAGCTTGATTGTGACCTGGATGACTGGGAATCTTCACAGATATTTAGACTCTTTCTCCATGTTGTTTTTTTGCTTTGAATAGAGATGTGTGGAGTCCTTCACAGCTTTTCTGCAGGGTTAATAAGGGAGAGACAAACTTTGGCTAGTCATAACAGGGCTGATTACCACGCAATAATGGCTGTGTGATGTCTTGTTCCCACTTTGCAAGGATTAAATAAAACGGGGCATGCTTTGGTAGCACATGACCCATGTACGGAGGCCTTAGTCCTCGCCACTGCCGATCCTGGTTAGAATGCGACTTGTGGTCCTTTGCTGCATGTCTCTCATACCTCCTTTCCTGTAAGCCTACTGTTGAAAAGACAAGCCACTAGTGCCATAAAAAAAAAAAAAAAAAGATGAAATAAAATGCGAGTGAGTGAAATCCATCCATCTCCCTTTATTTAACTGGAGGGAATAGTTGAATGCCTTAATAACGACAGTGCCACTGTAGCTACGAAGTACCAATGGTAAAAATTTAAGTTAAATAAGTTAAAATGTCTGAACTTGTGTGTATATTTGTGTAGCAGCAGCAATCATGGACTAGATGTGGCTGCGATGTAGGGTTAATGAGCGTAGACTTTCAATCAAAATAGTATGTTGTTGTACAAAGGATAAAGTAAGGAATGCTCTTAAGAGGTTCATATTTGCCTTTAAAAAAAGCCCCTTTAATTTAGTCCTACATGAATTGTTCATCTTTCCCCATGTCCAGCGCAAACATTGACGATCCACTGCCATCTTCTTGCGGATTTAAAGAGGTGAACCAGTTTTTTCGGTTTAATTTGCATGTTTTCTAAGCCATAACAAGGTTTTTGTTGGGCTATTCTAAAAAGCATGGAATGTGATGCTAATCAAGACATTTTTTACTTTTTAACCTTTTTTGAATGACTATGACCTGGATAACTTAGAATCTTTACCGGTACACTGAGATCTTCCCCACTTTTATGCTTTCTAGCCATAGGACCTCTCCTAGGTACTGGTGCTATGCAAAACTGGTAAATTATTTTCCTTCTGTTTCATTTTTAGGTTAAAGCCTGCCATAGCAGAGCAGTTCACTCTCAATCTGCAGGTTTACTAGTGGTTCCAGGAATTTCTCCTGAATGATTGTCTACTTTTAAGGCTAGGCTTAAAACTTTCCTTTTTGATAAAGCTTCTAGTTAGAGTGGCTCAGGTTATCCTGATCTATCTCTATAGTTATGCTGCTATAGGCTTAGACTGCTGGAGGACATAGGGACCCCGTTATGTTTCAAAAATTTGTATTGAGGAAACAGACATGAAAATTCAAACATCAAAAATACAAATTTGTCCCTTTTTTGATCATGAAACATAAAGACAATGCAAAATACCCCCCACCCCCCAAATTGTGTTATCAAAACCACTATACGATCACGTGTCACAAAAAGAAAAAATGTTGTCAAAACTCACTGTAAAAAGAATTTTTAAATGTGTGTTTAGCTCTCTGCTGTGCACAGAGACTGACTAGTGGACCAGTAGGAAAGCTCACTGCGTTATTTGTTTGTTGTTCACTTCCCCTTTAGGTAAATGGCATAAAATCCAACAGACTGCCCTCTGCATGTGCATGATGGGATAGGTATGGGAAACTGTCACACATACAACATGATCCTCACAGGACCACTATGTTGGTGGTGCGGGGTTGATGTGGGGGTTGGGGGGGTAAGCAGGAATGGACCCACAGCTCTGAATCCAAACAGTGTTTCATTATTGGACTTCTGCGCAACTCACTGATTGTCAACAACCAACACCATGTTCAAGCATATAGATTTCCATCAGTGCACCTGGAACCAGGACACCCTAGGTCAGAATTTGATGATCAGCTGTGTAGTATTATCTACTGATCTTCGGCCACATGTCTCTTGAGACAGAGAGGGGTGGAGCTGTCCACCATTGTCCATGTTTCCTTCTTCTATGTCAGAATAAACAGGATTATAGAAAATCTCTCTGTTTTCATAAATGATGACGGCAAAACTTTATGCTAGACTCTTTTATATAGTTTAGTCTTGTGTTTTTTTGTCTGCTTGCTTAGCCACAGACATATCTGACATTTCCAATAAGGAATGCTCTGTGTTGG